TGCATAATTGGCTCTATTAGTGATTAAAAAGCAACCTGCTTATCAATGATGCTGATCTAAATCAGGTCCACCTCAGCCACACACAGCCTCCTCTCTCTGGGCTTTTGATTTTCTCTGTACCACCAACTAGGCTAAATAATATAACGTCACGCGCCAATCGAAGCTTCACGTTGTGCCAACGACAGAAATGTGATCTTTTGTTCTTCTCTTGCATTTGAAACAGCAGCATCAAAGCGCTACCTTTTAATTGCATCGCTTTCAAGGCTGCAAACCCCAAAATGTTGCTGCTGGTGATTGTAAGCCAAGACAGCGTGGTGCAATATAACGGAATCGAATCAATTTTGACACATCGTTGCAATCGACTGGGCCGCTGTTCAGAATCAAACAACACACTCTCTTCGAAAACAGGGATGTGTGAAGCCTTGATGTCCATGGCAGCTTCTCTCTACATCGTGGCATTATCAAGATGAGAAGTGTACGACGCCATGAACCGCCTATTGGAATGGAATAACAAGGGAGACAGACCTGCAACCCCATCAACCACGTTATATTAAAAAAGAATGCGTGAACACCGTGCACTCGGTACTATTTATATTGCCTTTGATCGCCCCCCCCACCCCACCCACACACAGACTCACGCTTATTTAATAGAAAACTTCTGGAGTGGATTTGCTGTGTGAGAGGAAACCGTTTAATGAAAAAGAACAACAGCGCCCCCCCCCCCCCTCCCCTCCTCCCCACAACGTCACCTGAATTCTGTTTGCAACCTGCTCCATCGTCTCACATAAAAAGAAGAAAACCTATGAGGGTTTCCGTCCAAGCTGCTGTCTGTTTGTGTCTGCGTCTCAGAGCAGGGGGAGAGGCTCGTACCTGAAGTTCGTCCTAAAAACAAGTTAATTAATTAATTAAAACCATTAATCTCCTTTGTTGTCTCCTTGTTCCGAACGTTCACGAGGTAGTTACTTACTTTGTCTTTTTGGGGTGTTTCCCGCCAAGCAGTGTGAATCGGGTTTATCAGACCATTTCCCCCTAAAATCAGTCCCCTCTCGCTCATCAAAGCAACGCCAATGAGGCAGGTCAGACTGAACCGAGACAATACTTGATGGATGAAGCGACAAAGCGCCATTGAGCTGAGAGGAACCGCCGAGTTTGGTGATAGTTCTCCGTCCGTTCACAACAATGAGCCACTCCCATCCCATGCAAGGGAGTCAGTGCATGTACAAAAATATTAGTCATTGCCACTTCATCAACATAGGAACAGTTTTGTACATATTAAAACCAATTGAATGAATGTGTAAAAATGATAAACTATTTCCATAAACAAGCACAGACTGTGACTATTACTTAAAGCTAAGGCCAATGCGGAGCAGCATCTGAAAAATAAGCCCCTGTCACGGTGTGGTTTTATTTCCTGTCTTATTTTGTAGTTTTCTGCTTTTTGTCTCCCTGGGTAACTTCACTTCCTGCCTTGTCCTGTCATCGTCTGTGATTGTCTGATCGTTTCCACCTGTGTCCAATCACCTGCACCTCCCTAGTGTATTTAAGCCGTGTGTGTCTCTTGTGTCACTTGTCGCGTCATTGTCTTTTGTCCTGGATGGTCCCCGTTCCTGCCAACCTTTCCCCCCGGTACTTGTATGTGTTTTGCCCGTTGGCCTTTTGCGTTTTTGAATTTTGACTATTAAAGTCCTTTTTGTTTCCCGCAAACTCTGCGTTCGAGTCCTGCCTTTTCCCCCACGCAACATCCCTAACAGCCCCTGTGAAATGTTGTATGGGTTTTCCAGCCCAATTTTGAATGCCAACCAGCGAGCAGATGCGGGCTTGGCACGGCCATCGTGAACAAAGTGGTAATGACGGTGTGCCCGTCGCACCGAGAGGGCAAAAGCAATCCTTAGAAGTGGGAACACCTGCGTTGTGTCATCTGTCATCTGCGAGTAGCATAAATGCTACTTAATAATCCTCCAAAGGGATGATCAGAGTATCCTCTGCCTCTCATAACACGCTCCGCTGTTAGCCAATCGACACCGATCCTCTTATTGGCCATTTACATTAAGTCAGATATGAAAGAGTGACATAAAGTGTAATCGAGCAACAAATTGAGTGAAATGTGGCCGCCAAAGACGACCCTGTTGCAACACTTTTCTCTGAGACCAGAGCGGAGCAAAGCAATAACAATCCATTCAGCCTTATTGGAGCCTGCAGCGGAACCAGTCAGACGCTGTAGCAGATGTGAGCTTTTCGACTACGTTTCCTCAGCTTGAAGAGCTCCATGCCAAAAAAAAAACCTTCTCAACCACGTTGCAGTCAAAAACCTAGCCCCGTAACAGATCCTGCTCGGCTAATGTGAAGTGTGAAAGGAAACAAGGCTGCAGCTAATGTGTCTGGACATACACCTCCCCTCCCCCCCACTTCACCCCTCCATCTGCTGCAGAAGCTTTCCATTCTCCTGTAGAAAGGCCCAGGAGGAGAGATGAGAAACTACCCCTAAGGTTTGCTGTTCATATATCACATGTAAAACAGCTACCCAGAGAGGACGTGTTCAGAAACATGCACAATATTGCTTAAAGAAATCATGATTCATGCAGCGCACCCGGGAAATAGTTTGAAAGGATTAAATGCAGTCCGAGGCTCCAGAAAGTTAATTGTCTGCCTGCTCTCCTTTCCCTCACTAAATCAACATGACGTGTACAGCAAATGCACATCAGCAGTAACTGAAAACACTCCAGCCCCGTTGCAGCAAAACTGAAATATGGCCACTGACTTATCTTAACTTCAGCGCTCATTACACAGCAGAAAAACATGACCATGAACAACATCACACCTCTCAGAAATAAAAGCTTTTCATTTGGTAAACAACCGGTGCGTGAGCAAAGATTCGGTCGGGAAGACAAGCAGAACAATCCGGTTCTCTCAATCAGCCGATTGGGGGCCGCGCACGATGAATTAACCAACCAGTTGAGTCGCCTCCATCTTCAAACAGACACCTTAAGTGCGCTCAATGCGGACTTACCATGTGTTCATTTCCAACGTGGGTAAGAAGTTTGCATGACTTATTTATGAGCCTCGGGTTCGCAGGCACATACTTCTCACTCTGACAAATTCATGAGCTGTGACCACGTTTCAGTTGCTTCAGCGATTTTGAACTCGGCTAAACAAGTGAAGGATTCGGGGCTGAGGAATAACTGAATGCCACGAGGGACTTGAGCCCTGTGAAACCGAGGGGGGGGCAACAAAGAAACCGTGGCGCACTGAATTCTAACATTAGGTGTGTTAGACTGCATTCATTTTTCATATATTTGATGTATTAATGTTTCATGCTGCATATATTGATTCAGTAAACAGCTCAGTGAAACAGTTTCCTAATCTAAGCAAAGACAGGTTGAACGTTCATTCATTATTATACAAGCCTTCCATTCTTGCACGCGTGCTGTGCAACATTAGACTATATGTGTGAAATCATGCAGAAAACGGCTTCTACACATAGAAAGAAACTGAAAAAAGAGGTTTGGAAAGGGAATACACTTACAGAACTTTCAAGTTAAGCTGTGCTTCAGCCTGTGAAGGAATGCAAATGTTCATAGTTGTATCGTGGGTGTCAGTCCATCAATGGGTCAGTTGCACATGGAGTGAATGAGGTTTCTCCATTCAAGTTCGACAATCCAGTCAGAGCATTTAAAATGGCCGGTGAGATTGAGAATGCTTGGACCTCCTGTACCTCCAGCGCTGCATCTTTCTCTTGTCCGGGATGGAGTCCAGACTGTTAAGCAAATACAGGCGTCTGGAGAAGGCAGTACAATTAATCAGTGTCTGTGAGAATTGTTCTGCTAGAGATAATTAGGAATTACGGTATTGTCTGCTGGAAGCGAGTGCCCTCTGGGTCAGCGCAACTAACAAGTGTCCAACCAACTCAACACTGATTAAATGTCGTAGACGTTTGCTGGAGAAAACGGTTGTTCAGTCACGCGGTGACGGCGGGAGCCGATTCGGCAAAGTGGGTGAAAGTAATGCACATTAAAGAACACACACGGACACATGCGTATCGCTGTGGGGAGGCAGTGGAGGTGTTGCGGTCAGGAGAGAGGTAGAATGGGAGGATGATCCAAAGGGGACGGTGTGCAGGGGGGAGCCCATGGATCCGAGGAACCTAATGGCATTGGATTGCATGTCATGAGGGGATGACCAATGACCGATGCGAGTGCCAGCTCAGGTGTAGTACTTGCTGAGCGTTTCATTTCCCAGGAGGCAGATCAGAGCCATTGGATCAGGCGCTGATGAGCAAGTGAAGAGCGATGAGCATCGACATGGCTTTAACTGCCGGGAGAGGAAACCCCGCCTTCACCGCTCGCCGGAACTCCTGAGTCAGCTGGATCAATCTGGGCCAAAAGAGAGAGGAAATGAGTTAAGAAGCTCTGGGTGTCGGGAAGCACAGGTTCTTTTCATTGGCGGAGAGAAGAGAGTAACATGTATGTAGATGTAGATGGTTTAATTTGAAAAAAAGTAACTGTGATGTTTAAAAACAAACTATTGACACCATGTTAGTAATACAGGTGAGCAAATAATTGTAGAAATCTGTATTGGATTGTTTTCTCATCTGTAATAATTTTATTCCGAAAAGACTCTTAGATTCATTTTGGAGACACTGATTCTGACTTTTCTCTCATGCCAGTTAGAACATTTTAAAACCCTTGTTTACATGTCAGTTAAATTCTTAAATTACTCCAATGGGAACTTATTGATTTGGTACTATTTGGTTTATTGGCAGCTGGGTCGAGTCCTGCTGCAATTTGTCCTGCACTTGGAGAACACATGATTTACAAAACATCCGGTATATTTGGTCCATATTTCTTCTACTGTACTTCGTGTTCCAGCGGTGAGGTTGAACACAGATGAAGAGCTTAAAGCCACAATATCAAATCCATCCATTTCCCGCCCATGGCTGTAGAAGGCGCGGCGGTGCGGGAGAGCTCCCCGGCTGTGAGGTGGAGATCTCGGAGAGTATAAAAGGTGCGCGCGGAGCCGGAGCGCACAGAAACATCTGGCCGCTGCTCGGGGGCCACCTCGTGCTCTTCTTTCTGGAACAGCCACAATTATTTCACGCACATCTGGAGTGGAGCGCATAGGAGAGGAGAGGAGGAGGGGAGTGAAACTCTTCTTCCACTTCTTCCACTTTCTTGCGTTCCTTCAAGTGACCGTTGTCAGCAGCACCGCGGCCGGAGCGGACAGCGCCGCCGCCTCGGCAGCATGGAGCCGTACACCGTCTCTGGAGCTCAGCTCCACCTGTCCGACCTCTACTCCGTCATCCCTTACAACGCCACCTTCCCGTACGAGGAGACGCGCGACCGGCTGCAGAACTGCACCGGGCCGCGGGGTCCGGCCGGGAGCACCGGGGGCCTGATCACAGCGATCTGCATCACGGCTCTCTACTCCGTCATCTGCGTGGTGGGACTTCTGGGCAACGTGCTCGTCATGTACGGGGTGGTCAGGTAAAAATACCTGCTTTCGTGGATTTCCCACTCGTGTTTTGCTGTTCTCACGGGGAACCTTTGATGCACCATGATGAGTATTTTGAAACTGATGGAGTTTTAGTTATAATCTCACAAGTGCAACACAATTTTGTAATGTACTAAAATTTCTGTAAATATTCATTTGTTTTTTTGAGCTTGACTCAATCCACTCTCAAAACAACCAAAACTTCAATTAAATGGAACAAAATTCCTTTCCAAAAAATAAAAAATGCATTCATTCCTTATTGCAGTTGTGTTTGAATCGCCCAAACAAGTGGTCCCATGCATAAAGCATGCATTGCACTATTACACATTATTATCTCTAACTCGTTGTGAAAGTTTAATGCCAAAGAGGTTTGGTTGTAGTCGAGTTTCTCATCTCAGTGGCATTCTCTCAATTCAGTCTGACTCAGCTGCGTCTCAGCGGAGAGGGTTGATCAAACAGAGCCTCAGTTACTTTACGCTTACGCGTCTTTGCATCAGCTTGGATCGATGGAGAGGGAAAATCCTGCCATTAGAGAGACGGTTCTATAGTGTCTGAGTGAAAATGTGTGTTCTGTGTGTTTTGTCTCGTGAAAATAACCAGTGCTAAACCCATCATTTATGTAATCCTTTTAGGCGTTGCAAAGACATTTTAAGGCTTAGTGATTTGGTACAGAATAACCAGATGCAATGGTGAATGTTTGCAGTGCTGAGGTCACAGCCCCCCGCCCCCCCCTCCCAGCTCTAAAACAATTATAATAAAGCCTACGCCGACTTATTCAGATACAAGCACCCTGTAATTTCCTGAGAACTCCCTCAGCACTAACCTGTATGCATGCTTGTCAGAAATAAAGAGCTTTTGCAGCAGCTCTGATTGTGCTCACTGTTCCCCTGATGCCACTTGAAGCATTAATTAACGCAGCGGCGATGGTGAATCAAACAACCAGGTAAAGCTGTCGAGGCCAGTGGTTGTTTTTCAGCCCACAGGCATGACATCACATGCAGGCCGAAATATATTTAAATGCGAACATGCTCCAGTGGTTTTTGTATTGACGGAAGCAGAGGGAGTGCTGAAAGCAAGCTGGGTATTTTCTGAAAGCGGCAATCTTTGGATATTGAAGCACGAAAAAAAAATCATGAATATTTACAACTCTGCCTTTTTAATTCTATTCAGGGGTTAGAGGGAAAATAATGGGAGAACAATCAAGGAAAAGACCGAGAGACAAAAGGAGATGGATGAGACCTAAGAAAAGCAGGAATTTGTCCGGCATTCATCGCCACAGCTGAGCGCGTTACCCAACCCAGCAGGATGTTCTCTCCTGTGGAAGGGAGTGTACCTACACCACAGAACTAAGCTAGCAGTAGATATAAAAGAGACACCCATAAACAAAATGTTAGGTTCACAGGGACAAATCCGTGTGCACTAAAATCAACAGAATTCCAAATCTCCCAAATAAGCATTGCTAAGTGGAACAGCAAATCTTATCAACGACAAAGAAAGCAACAAGAGCAGGTTCTGTTATTACAAATCAAATTGTGGTCCGAGAGAATTCACTGCATCAAATTATTGTTCAAAGAAACGACTAAAGAAGACAATTATGGCTGAACTGAAAAAAAGTTTCATTTAATAAAAATAAAATAATTAATAAAGGCAATGCAGCTATGTTTCCAACAACTCAAATATCAAATACAGTGGAAAATGCCCCTCTAAACCCGAAGATTATGAACAAAGTAGAAGATCTTAGTGTCTAATAATTAGTGGGTTGGCAACATTTCATTTAATTATCTTTAAACGACTGTTTTCACCAGTAAACCTCCTCCAAAAACTCCATCCCAAAGCCTCCATCTGCGATTTGTCTGCTCCGTCGGGCAGCATATAAATACGTCACGAATAGGAGAGAGGTTCTCCAATGCACACAAACTCTTTTTTTAGGGTAGTGTTGCGTGCATGCGCACATCTGTGTAAATTGGTCTCCAGCCGCATTGAAAGGCTTCGATCTGATTGCCGATGGAGAGGCCGGCACCTCTGAAACTGGGTAAGAAAGCAGCACTTGGCTTTTCTTATCTTCCAGCTATCCTCGCTCCTATCTCGGCCCTCATCCTGCCGCCACACCTGTTAGATAAGACCCGGCTCAGTGAGCGCTTGAGCAATTTGTTCTCAAGTGGATTGTCGATTGGCAGTGGGCTCTGTGCGCAGCTAGTGGCAGGCTGTGTTGGTTTGTGTGTAAGTGGAACTGAGCTTCTCTTAATAACTCTTACAGTAATAATGGACAGCATGCGCACACTCCAGGCTAAATTGGTTTTCTGGTGTAGTATTATTTTGGTAAAGATAAAAGAACTACAGTATGAGTCGACATAGTCCAAACTAGTTTTGTTTTTTTGGTTTTAGGTGTTGTCTAAAAATGGGCAAAAATGTGTTTAGCATCTACCAGGAGGAGGAGCATTGTGTGTGTGTGTGTGTGTGGTTGAATGGGCTAAGTAGCAAGTGTGTGCATTACCATCCTATAAGATTGTGACACTTCTGAATTGGACAATCTAGAGACAAATGGGTAACGGGGGATATTTCTAGTCCATACAGCCCTTAGAGCCCTTTGGTTGCACCAATGCAATCATTGCATTTTGTGTATGCTAGTCATTTTCAAACAAATCACTGAGTGAGTATCGATTGGAACAACCATGGCCGGTTAGATGGAATTTACATAGTGCACAGTTGGCGGCGTTTGATTAATGACGAGCTGAATAAACAGCAAGTGATCAATGGAACTCTGTTTCGGTAAAGATCGCTCACATGCCCACAGACCCCGGAGGTCAGCGTAGTAAGTAATTGCTACAAACCAGAGTAGGAAGACAGCCCCATAAAAAGAGTCAATGCTGTAAGGAAAAAAAAACGAGAAAAAAGTCACCGATTTAAACCGTCACAGAGTGACAAACGTGCTTCACTGTAACATGAAAAAGGGCGTCCAATGAGATTTCCCAAAAGGAAAGATCGAAGCGTTCCCCTGTGTCTGCATTTTACACTGAGCAATTGGTTATAAGACAACCTGTGGACAAAGTCATTGTTGGCATTTTTACTAAGCAACTGCCTGGTGTGAAATCAAGTTTCTGCTGGAGGAGGCCCGCTTAAGTGCATGAAACAGCATTTTAATGGGAATTAACTCCTACTCTAACCCATGAAAAACAAGCTGCACAGTGAATATAACTTTCAAGTCCCGTTACCCCATGACAGAGCATTCCACACTCCGCTGCTCTTATTCCGGCTCGGAGCAAACTCATTCCCTTTGCTTTGTGATCACGATCAGATACACCAAGATGAAGACGGCCACAAATATCTACATCTTCAACCTGGCTCTTGCCGACGCGCTCGCCACCAGCACGCTGCCCTTCCAGAGCGCCAAATACCTCATGAACACCTGGCCGTTTGGGGAAGTCCTGTGCAAGCTCATTATCGCCATTGACTACTACAACATGTTCACCAGCATCTTCACCCTGACCATGATGAGCGTGGACCGCTACATCGCCGTGTGCCACCCTATCATGGCGCTGGGGTTTCGGACGCCGGTCAAGGCGAAAATGATCAACGTGCTCATCTGGGCCCTGTCCTCCGCGATCGGGGTGCCCATTATGTTCATGGCTATGACCAAAGTGAATGCTAATGGTAAGAAGGTGTTCTTTTCCACTGTGTCTACCTTCATTATCAAGTCAACGTCTTTAAGCAAGTGTCAACTGTTATCCGGAATTGTGTAAGCCAGCAGTTGAACTTGAATGGATCCCCCAATTGCTTGAGAAAAAGCCCCGCGACGATGTGCATAGTTTAGCATTTATCGAACCAACATTCTCAGAACTTCATCAAAGATTACAACATTTAGACGACTGGATCCAAACTCCATTTAGTGAGTCTCTGGTGCCGATTAAGAATATGAGTGTGCGAAGCGTAACGCAAGTATTTCAATCCTGCAAACCAAAAAAGTAGAGGCGCATTGCTAATATGCGGTGTTGCCCACTGAGACTCAAGACTCAGGTCGACCAACGACACAGCATGGAAGAATAGAAATCAGACATGCAGGACAACGACCGGGATATTGAGTCAAATCCCATACGTTGTTATGGCAACGGGTGAAAATAGCGGGCCACTAAGAGCAAAGGCTTGTGAGAAACTCCTACTATAAGTACAACCGTAGGACACCTGTGTGGAATACTCCGGGTGTAGCCTTAGCCGGCATCTGTCTCAACCTAGATTTCCCCATAACTGTACATTAACATGTTCTTTGGAATTCTACCTTCGCTTTTTCCAGGTAAGACCATGTGCATACTGAAGTTCTCTGAGCCGGAGTGGTACTGGGACACTGTGACAAAGATCTGCGTCTTCATCTTTGCTTTTGTGGTTCCCGTGACGGTCATCAGCATATGTTACAGCCTGATGATCCTGCGTCTGAAGAGCGTTCGTCTGCTCTCGGGCTCCAAGGAGAAAGACCGCAACATGCGCCGCATCACCCGCATGGTCCTGGTGGTGGTGGCTGCCTTCATCGTCTGCTGGACCCCCATCCACATCTTCATTATCGTGAAGACCATGGTGGCGATTGACACAAGGAACCCCTTTGTGATAGCCAGCTGGCACCTGTGCATCGCATTGGGGTACACCAACAGTAGCCTCAACCCCCTCCTCTATGCATTTTTGGATGAAAATTTTAAGCGGTGCTTTAGGGATTTTTGCCTCCCTTGTCGGACCCACATGCAGCAGCACAGTCTGACAAAAGGGCGCAACAACACCAGGGAGCTGGTATCCGTCTGCACTCCGACAGAGGCGGAGAAGAAGCCTGCATGACTAGGCATGGAAAGGGTCCCTCAAAGCTCTCGCTCTAGGAGGATCCAGCAAGATCTGCAATCAGAGGTCACCCAGATCTCTACAACAGAGTTTTAAAAAAGAGAAGAACGAGAAAGAATTGTGCCGATTGGTCTCAGGCAATTTGGCTGAGTGAGCATTCAAAGGGAATAAAGGTGACAGAAAGAGAATGTGTTCTTCTTTTATCGAATGTGACGCCTTGCATTGTGACGTGGGTCGACATCCCAAAGAGTATGTTCAGATATGAGGAAGAACAATGAAGCAGAAGATCCGCAGCTCACCATAAGTCGTCCCAAACGGACCAGGAAACAAAGGTTCAGATCATCAGAGAGTATTGTGATTATCGTCACTGACTGGCTGGTTAAGGAATTACAACAAAAGATGGGATTCTAAAATCCATTTTCAATTTGATGTTTTAACAAACATTTGCCTAGAATTGTCCCCAATTCAATTCAACAGAGCAGGACTGAAACCCACCGACAGCTGGATGAATTAGAGTAGCTTGTAACTAAGTCAACCAATCTCTACATCGAGAAATCTCCAACAAAAATGGACACTTGTTTATTTATTTGATTCCCTTTAGACTCTGCTGCCATTAACTGTTTCTAACAGGACATTAAATTACAATCGAGCCCACTTGTTGAGGTTTTGCGCTCCGATGGAAGGTTCCAGAATGGCATTGAACCGCTGAGGCGTGGATTTCTATGGAAGTCTTTTCTGCACATCAATTGACTTTTCGTGAGTGGTGTTAAGACTTGAGACGTTTGAGGAGAAACGCTAAAGAATGCCACGGAAGAATAAGGTTGGCAGCCTCAGCGCTTCGCTCCCTTTGTTTGTGTATAGTTGTATAGTAGTAGTTTAGCTATTGAAAGTGATCTGAAGTCAATGAATAACTCAAACTGAGCATCTTCTTGCCAGAAATGCCTGTCCTTCGGGTCAACAAACAGATTGCTTCAAGGTGAATTTTGATCTGCATTTAAATGACCTTAGTGTGGCCATTTATTCAGGTTCATTTATTTACTGCAAACGATGATAAATCAAATTGGAGATTAATAGATGGTGTGCATTTAACGATCATTTGAACTTTGCATGATGTGTCAGAAGTGAATATGGAGTCCAAATAGAATATGACAATGAAGTATGAAAAATTGGTGTTGACATGCAAAGGTGTCAAAAAATGCCATAGTTTTCAATGGTGAAATGTTGACTTAATGTGTTCAATTTTAAAGTGATGTAAATTATGACAGAAGCACTTGTGATTACCAAATGTAAAAAAAAATAGTCAATGACTGAATTTGCAGATAACGTAAAGCTTTTGCTTTTGAGCAAATTCGGTTTCAGCCACAGGGAAAATGACTGATGTTTTCTTGTGATTCTGTATGCCATCTTAGATCTTACTATTTCCCCATGGAGACAATACAGGCAGACTATTCAGTGATTTACATTTCTTGCGCCGTGATGCATTCCTGCATACTTTCCTATTTAAAGTGTACAGTAAATACAAGCTTAGCTTTGAGAAAGTGCTGCATCTGTCCGATGTGGAGGAAATCTCAAAGCCAGTATTCATTTTGCAAACTGAAATCACAGTCAATCATAGAAATGCGTAGGGTAATTGTTCCAAAAAGTGATGTGTTTACTTTTTGTATCTCACTGCGTAGTAAGTTAGTAGTTAGTAGTTGCGTAGTTTTCCTTAAGTAACAACAATTCGGTTTGTTGTATGCGGTTTGTTACATTAAATATCACTGCGTTTTCCTCTGCGTGGCAGAGTCAAAAAGAACCTTTTAATATAATATTTTACCGCCTCATTTCACCAAGTGCCAATAACAAGGAAAACAGAGGTATCCAATTGGTAGAGATCAATGCTGGTCAATCAACGTTGAACCAATGGCAATGGAGAGCTCAAGCTATACAATCAAGTCCGGTCCACACCTTGAATTAAACCCTACCTGTAATTTCACCTTCCGGTGATTTCTGTCTGTAGCAAACTACAACAGCCAATTTTACTGTATGGTCATTGTTATTGGTTACGAAGGTATTTATCAGCAGATGAGATCACTTTGATTTACAATTATTTAAAAGAAAAACATTCCAGATTCTTGACAAATAATTAAAAACTCAATAACGAGATCTCATCATGAATCAAAAAATTAAATTAAAGTGAAAGAAGTTGAAATAAATCACATTGGGTATTTTTTTGGTTCAGATCCTAAATGTTCTAAATAATGTCTAATATGTCTAATAAATAATAAATGTCTTTTTGTTATAAATACGTTTCTCCCATCTGTATCTGTACATCTGCTGACCCCCTGACTGGGCCACACCTTCTGACCGCTTGTGCACGGCCCAAGAGGGTTTGGTGGGGGCAGCGAGCTGTTGGCAGGGGAGCCGTGGACTACAGAACAGTATCCACCGGGATGAAATGCAATAGGATTTATTGACCATTCCATATTTTTTTCCTGATAGTCCATTAATTAGTTATCGGTTAGCTTATAAAAGTAGCTACGAGGGTCATAAAGCCAATGTCGGTTGCTAAACATCTGTGTGTACAGCAGGTTTGTGGTGTGTTATGTTAATGGTCCGTAGCTAATTTGGTTAAACGTCTGAATGTTTATTAATCTGAGATTTTAGGAGGTGAGCAGATAGTCAGATGTCACTAATGTTCCTATTGATTGTCAGTCTGATTGTTTGTAGAGATTAATTGATTGCTTATTTAATCTTCTGCCGCCACTCAGTTTTGTGCATTTGTAATTTTCCATTCATTGTTTTCATTATATATTTTATTTCATTTTTGTATTTGATGTAAAGCGGAATAAAGCTTGTGTGAATGTAAAAAAACTGTAGGTTTATGTAAAATGCCACTGTGTTGTTTAATCGCTGACTGCAGTACAATGTGTAAAGCAATTGTGCTAATCATACATTTTAAGCTTCTTCTGGTGAATCTGTTATATAAAAATGTCTAATGCCGCAGCTGTGCTTCAAGCCTGACGTTAATTGTTGGCAAAAAATAAACAAAATTAAATAAAGTCCAGAGAAAACTGCTTGAGCTCCTTTTTTGAAGAATGGTCTGTTTTGGTTGCCCGAAAACAAGAAGATATTGGATAGTATAATATTTAGTTGGAAATGATTGGGTTACTAAATGGAATAATTCATCTTGCATGACCGTAATTCAATTTAAATGGCAGAGAGTGCTTGAAAATGGTCGTCATGACATCAGCCTGCAAAGTGCATTTCCACCGGCGCTCGGATAAACACACAAGAGATCGCCGAAGGCTGCTCAGAGTCCCGGTGAGTGCCTTTCACTGCTATCAGAAAATTAAAACATCCAACTCTAGATCTCCTCTTCAAATTCAGGTCAGCATCTTGCGGTCACCATGGAGACCAGTGGCACCATTGCACAGCGCTCCGATGAAATAGCTTAACGGGCGTTCAATGTAATCATGTCGGTTTGCTTCACTAGCAGCCACGGATCAATTACTGCTATTTCTCTATGCACAGCAGCAGATGAGCCTCCCTGCCGATCGAACTGGGACCGCCCACTTTGCGAGCGATGGGAAAGGTTCATATCCCCGAAGAAGTTCAATAGATGTATTCTTAATATGCTCACACCGTACGACGGAGGGCCGCACAGATATCACAGCAACTATATTTTAGTGTATTAATCACACGTCATACACATTCATGACAGAAAGAAATGCCACATTATTTTTTTGTCAAATAGGCAACGTTTTAATTAAATAGGAGAGAAAGTTTGGGGGTGACGTACTTCTATTGTATACGCTTTGAATGTGTACCATATTGAATTATCTTACTTTCTTTCAACCACAGAAAAAAACGTTGACAAAAATCCCCATATTTCAAAGCCATGATTATATCTTGAGTTGGTAAAAGTAGCTCGAGCCGAGCCTAATAACAAACAGCACAAATAAACTAGCAGGATAATGGAAAATGAAAGGAGAGAAATACAGGAAACCAGAACTTGAAAACAAGCAGTAGATAACATTCAATATGGACGACATTGTGCTCTTTTCGTCGTGTAGAGGTTATAAATGGCGACACAGAGAAGAAAGACAGCGCTAATGGAAAAAAACGAATAGTGTCAGAGGACCGTAAAATGGAAAAAGGAAATTAATAATGTATTTTCATTGTATGCGTGGAGAAGTAATTGGGAAGTTCTCTTCTCTCAGCTTTGTTCTGGTGTTACACCTGTATTACAACATTCTACACACATAGCCGCATATACATCACATCAAGTAGCCCAGATACTAGAGACATTTGTGGATAAAAACAGGAAGAGAAGCTGGAGTTGGCGGATTTATACACACATGTTGATATTTGGATTAAAAACCTAAATACCTCCTACAGATTCGCTTTGAAGAGAGTCAATTAGACTCGCCGTATATCGATAACCTTTCCCATAACCTGCACACGAGCACATAAGGATGTGTGGCCCTTTTAGCTTTTCCTTGTTCAAAGTGCAGCCAGCAGGTTAATAGCAGCTCTTGAAAACGTGTTGTGCAGCACAAGTTAGGAATGAATGAGTTGTATAAAATCTATTGGGTGTTGTTGACTAAAGTTTTTCCTCTTGGTAGACAACTGAAGAGAGATTAGAGCAGTTTTCCCGTGTGGCCCTCGATCATCTGCTGGATCCGCAAATTGGCACAATGTTATCAAAAACATAATATCATTCATTTTAATTATATTACATGCATTTTTGTACTAAAATCTAATTTGGATTGTGCAAAAAATGCGCCAGTCGCTGTACGTGCATCTGCAGTTTACTGGACTCCTTTAATGCAATTGCAGGAAAATGCTTTCAAGTGCTGCTTCATACCGTTTCTGAAGATTAACAGTACTTTGCATCGTTACCCTGGTGTCCTCGTCCAGAGGTGAACTGAAGTTGTCATGACTACCGACGGCCCCTGCCAGTCCTCACCATGCGCGCCTTTTCCAACTGGCTGGATGAAGACTGCTCTCATCCATCGCTGGGATTTGAATCGATGAGCAGATTGTTTACAGGTAGCTGCACAAAGATATAATGAGGGGGGGGGGGGGGGCTCACCCTGCAGCCCACGTTTACCCCCCTCTGATCAGACTCACACGGGTTTGAATCGCCTGTGTGTGACTGTAAATGCTGAGAGTGAGAAAAGGGGGAAAAAAACAGTGAACTCCTTTGCAACAAAGAGCTCTGTGATTAATTCCTCTCATTTCTAACTGCTATTCAATTAATTCAAGGGAAATATAATATATCTGTAATGGAAAAATGTTGCTACAATTATCCTTTGAATCCACAACCATTGTCAGTGCCGTTTTCTTTTTTGTATTATTCCTTCTAACCCCGAGCGATGTCTGCAAGTATTCTTCTTCTCTAATAAGACAGACACAGACTGTGTGTACCTTGAGAGGCCAACCTCGAGGTGAGAATGAAGTTTCCAAAGCAGCTCAGATCTCCTCTCACCTCCAGTGTGGTGGCCAGAAAATAACAGAAGTAGTAGTCAAACCTTTCACACAACGCAACTTCACATGCCGGCCGCTACACTTCTCTCACATATGTAACATCCAAAGGCATCTGCTTAAATAGTGGTTTGCTCCGTCTTTACTTGCTGCGTGTCAAATCACAAATCACATATTCTTAAATTATTTTTGATAATACTTGTGCATAATTCAAAAGCACCTTGACACACAGGTTATATCAGCAGCAACATCATTTCCAGAAGACATCATCATCATATTATGGTTTATTAGAAAATCAATGGAATCAAAACATAAATAACAATTCAATGAATCAATCAATTAATAATATTAATTATTCCGCAGTACGCACGGTTCTTACGCTGCTCAGCAAGACACAGAGAAAAGATGCTGCTGCTGCTGCAGCAGCTTTTGTTGACGTCAGAACAGTTCAAATGCCTCCAGCTGTGATCAGAAACTTACATCGTTTAATGGGACGCTTCAATAGAGAGAGAGAATGTTTTATTTCCCCTAAAAACGTTTCCAAAAGGTTCGTTGCTCCTTGCAAGGTTTCTTGCGTCTCTTTACGCATCCAAGGCGGCCACCGTATTATTCCAACATAGGAGGAGTAATAATTCTAGTCAAGGAAGGTGCCATAGACTGTAATGCAAGTTTTAAAGGGTTACCAGGAAGACATTTTACCTCGGGACACCCTCGCAGAGTTAATCACCATTTCCATTCAGTCACATTTCATAAAGACGTGCAAAATGTGGTAAAAAAATAGTCTTTTGGATGATACTCTCTCTGGGAATATTGCATTTATCGTACAGAGAAAATTGAACAAAAGATAACACCGTTTGTAGATGAAAGAGAGGAAAAAGATAAATGCTGAACATTATAGTCCACACACCGTGGGGCGCTTTAAATCTCTGGCCAGCCATCCGCAGTGAACACGGCGCCCCACTATCAGATCCAACAAGTTGTCATTAATCCACAGCCATTAAAGAAGGGTTTATAAATAATTCAATTTAGCGCGAGGAAACCTCTCTGGAGCCGGGGGGCCCGGGCTCCCCTCACATAGCTCAAACATTCCGCCTCATGATCAGGACAATCCTGCTAATGAGTGCCGGGGGCCGACTAAACATTCATATCGTGAGCGTACTTATTAGAAAAGGGAAAGTCATGAAGCAACGAGCTGCATTTGCTTTCTGACCCTTTCAGCCTCTGCAGATGAGTGGGCGTGGGGGTGAGGGGGGAAAGGGGTGAGGGGGGGGGGGGGGCGGTGAGGGGAGGGTCGCCACAGCTTCATTTCCATGACAGAAGGCGGAAATGGCATCTGCATCAATGCTTTGTTTTCTTACTAATGGCCACATGCACCCTCCAAAAGAGCCCCCATCAACCTGTTAATTAAATCGCGTTGCCCTTAAAAAGATGCCATCCGAATGCTCGGACTGATTAAGCGTGTGCGGGTTTACAAATGCTGATATTTTCATAATGCAGCCATCATTCCTTTCTACATTTGCAGTTCACCGTCATCAGTGCGCAGCCTCGGTTAAAGAGGCTCATTTCTGTTTGAGGGGCCGGATCATTGATTCCCTGACAGACTGGGAGAAGCATTGAGGTGGTGCAAGTCTATTAGTGGTTACCTGCTCCTGTCAATTATGTGTGAAGACGCACCGGTAGACGGCTTTTACATTTCACATCCCTCCAACCGGGCTCGGCACTTTGCTGATAATCCCCCGCATGTTAATGTACCACAGTAATCCTTTTAGCTGCGTGCAGCGGTGATACAATGCAACGTCTTTGCCAAATGGCCAAAGATGGAGGAATACAACTTATTGTGTTCACCGACTGAGAGGCATTTGGGAGTGGAAAAGGTTTACAAATACACAAATTAGGAAAAAAGCATTAAAGTTTAGTTGGCATTCTGATTTTAAAGTTTAAATGGAAATGGTTTTGAAATAAGAGAACTTTTGCTGACCACTGATGAAACGCTGAACTCTGGGCATAAATAAAGCTAATAAACACACAGAACTTATTCACTGATTATGTTCCGTGATATAATGAATACACTAAACTAAAGACTTATGCAAGTATATTGATAGCTTAAAACCCTTGATTTGCTGACGTCTTTGTCGCTCGTCTAGGTACCTTGATTATTCTGTTATGTTCAAAAAAACGTATCACTTAAAAGAGACTCGGGAATCACAAAAAAGGGCACCGTTAATGAAAGTCAAAGTTGCATTAGCATGCTTCTCATCTGCAAGCTCCTTTTTACTTCTTTCCTCTCGGCGATCAATAATGCTCGATCGCAACATCAAGTGGATTTCATCCCTCGGCCAAAAAACTCCTTTTTTCAGTTTAAGTTTAGTGATCAATTGATTTTAAACTTTTCTGTCAAACTCTCAAACCTCCCAACTATTACTTTAATTTACATATGCCAATAAAGATTATGAGGCTAAAAAAGTTGAAACAGCCTGTTCCTGTTCCCATGAATCTGAGCTGCCATTAATTATCATTGAGGCAGCTCAGGTATTTTGGAACTTTGAGGGAAATGTCAAATGTCTGACCTGCTTTTTGACTCCTTCAA